TTTTTAAGTGGGAGAACTTGCACAATTGGGGGCTGACTAAATACTTTTTTGCCCCACTGTAAATTGTAAAGTATCTTCCTTATGATTGTCTTTTGAACCATGTTTATGATTTGCCAAAAAAAAAGTACACAATAATAAGGAAGTTCTACACCCAGGAAGATTTCGAGAGAGAAGACTGTTGTACAACTGGATTCTTCTTCAAGAGTTCCATTAACTTTAATTAGTAAATTTCTTATAATAGCTCTTTTTTCAGTCTTGCAGAAACCTAAAAAAAAGGTCACCTACTTCTTTGATAGCAGAAAGAAGCTGCAGTCAAAGGAGATCTGAAGCACATCCTCCTAATCATTCTCAAAGCATGTACAGCCCTATAATCTGAATAATTTTTAAGTGGTGTGAGTCTTAAATAATCTGCATTATTTACATATTATCAGCAGTACCCATGCCTTCTCATTTTTAATTCATCTTTTTTTGTATATTTTTACTCTTCCAAAGTTTTTTTTTTCATTTATACTCCAGCATAAATCCTGATTATGTTTTACATGACTGAAGTTATTGAAATTATAAACTCAAGCTTCTTCCACATGGAAAGCCATTAGATTCTGTGTGTCAAAGTTTTGGGCAAACAGCTTCCCAATGAAAAAGTACCATATCACAGAAAAAGGAGGGGCACATGATGATTTCCACATTTTTGAAGAGTAATTGGGAAAAATATGGTCATTAATTGTAAAATCTCAGAAGCTTCAACTGGTATAAAACGTTGCAACAAGATTAGTCTCTAGAGGATCCCATATAGACCACGTAACACCCATTTTGAAATCTCTGGCTGCCAATTTGTTTCCAGATACAAGATTCCTACCACTCACTAATCAATCTTCAGAGACCCACCTCCAGTAGCACCTGGTCTGTCTAGCTGCTGGCTTGGGAGTAATCTTTTGTCTATTTTTGCCCCATCTTGGTCTGTGGAAGTCATTTCTCAGTGCAATGCCCACGTGGCTTTAAAAACATCCCTCTGTCTGCTGGCTTGCAGTGCATAATTGTTTATTTTTTAAAGTTTTACTTCTGCCAAAATAATTTATTTTAACCTCAGATTTTATATATCTTGTATATTTTAACTTGCTGAGAGAGGCAAAGAAACTGATATCAGTATGATCTCTCATACCTATATAGCTGAGGGGAAATTATTCACAAGCCTGCAAAAGTGTTCTCCTTTTTATTCATTTTGAAACATCCCAGCATAGATGCAAGGGAAGATCTGCATTTTATTTTTGCTAGCAATACACATTTTTGTCTCGCAGGTGTTAGCATTTGGATGATATTTTGGGGGTATGGAAGCTTCATTGGGAAATGACATCCCCACCCCCAGCAAGATATGAGCTGGACTAGCAGAAGAAGTCCAGATTACAGAAGCAGCAGCAGCAGTCCAGATTGTGGGAAGTAATTATCTCGCTCTGCTCTGCTTGGTCAGGCCTCACTCGGAGTACTGCATTCCATTCTGCACACTCCAATTTAAAAAAGATATTGATAAACTAGAGCAAGTCCAGAGAAGGACTACCTAGATGGTGAAAGGACTGGAAACCAAGTCCTATAAGGAACAGTTAAAAGGCCTAGGTATATTTAACTTGCAGAAGAGAAGGTTGAGAGGGGACATGATAGCTGTCTTCAAATATCTGAAGGACTGTTACGTTGTACAGGGTTAAGATTTATTTTCATTTGCTCTAGAGGGTAAGACTAGAACTAATGGGATGAAACTTCAAGGATGTAGATATAGCTTAGACACCAGGAAGAACTTCTTGAAAGTAGGAGCTGTCAATCAGTGGAAAAAGTTACTGCATGGAGTGGTTTCTTCTCCTTCACTGGGGGTTTTCAAACAGAGCCTGAATAGTCATCTGTCAAGAATGGTGCAGTGAATACTGCAATGTGCAGGGGATTGGACTTGATGACCTTTTACATCCATTCAAACTCTATGATTCTAGAAAAAACATCCAGAAGGCAGCAGTGGTAAACTCTTTCATATTTTTGCCAAGAAAACTACATGGGTATATCCATTAAGTCACAAGGAGTTGAGTTCAATTCAAAAGAGACGTTACTTTTCATGCTTCTCTAATTCTGTAACCATATCACTACACTTCCTGATAATTATTCCCATTGAAATTATCAGATTGCACTCATTTTTCTTTTCTTCTTTTTGTTATCTTCCTTTTCATATATATGTATTTCTCTGTACCCAGGAAATTTTGTAGTAATATAAAATTTTGGTCTTGTAGCTTGGATATTAGAATGAAAAGTATGAAATCAAATACTAATTTCTTCTGCAACAGAGGTTTTTACATATTAAGACACTATACATAGTTAATTTATGAATGGAACACTGAGATACTACCTGCAGTACATTTTGAAGCTATGCCTACATTTGGGGCCAATCTAAAGTTTACCCCAAATCCCCAAAATCAACATTTCAACATGTTGCATATTTATGAAAGTCTTTCAACTTTTATATATGTTGAAGAGGATTTTCAAGAGAGATGAATACAGTGTCAGCCCATGATTTTAGCTACAATGATCTTCCCCTCCAAATATAAATAAATCTCATTTATGCTATGCATATTAAGTCATATATGATTAATATTATTCCTTTATTCTTTTCTGTAATACTTATTTAATAAAGATTCTGGGCAGAACTGAATCTAGCCTGGTCCATGCATGAGGCAAGTAAAAAAATATATATTAACCTGTAAATACTACTGTACAAGTATTATCTGAAAAATGCACACCTGACAATGCATTTGAACTATTATTTGTTTCTGACAAAAAGTTTAGAAATTACAATAATGATTCAGCAACCTTGTGGCAGTAAAGCCCACAG